ACTTTATAAATTTATCACTTAACTCCATCACAGCTAACTAAATCAATAATCACAGCATCATTAAAAATTATATTTTTACTAATAAACGAAATTTCTTCTGAAATTTTTAGATAGAATTTACTCAATCTACATATTCATTTACCATCTCTTTTAAGCTACAATTTTCTGGGATTTGCTTGCACAAACATTTTAATGATTTTTTCAGTCGAGAGAGCTCAGACAGCCTTATAGGGTCTGAAGCTATAAGTGCAAGATTGTTAAGTCTGCTCTCCATCATAGTACATCTTGTGTAATGAAATATTCCCTTTAGAAGGCTATAACTTTTCTCTCCTTGTATGAACAGTGAATTTAGACAAATTTTTAGTCTTTGTCATTGTCAGGTGTTACTTTTTAAACGTAATTTCCTTTTAATTTTGTATTTTCAAGGGGGGCAGGGCCCCGCCTGAAACTTTCAGGGGGGGCAAGAGGACTACTGCCCCCCTAGGTACGCCACTGTGCCTGGCCTGAGGAAGGGAAATGCAAGCTAGCAAATGTAATATTAAAAGAGCCTCCCCCATGGGTGCCCCCCTCAGCCTCTCAAGGGGGCACGCGTAGAGGGGGGCGCGGCCCCCCCTCATACGCCACTGTATGCCACCTGTTTATTATAGTATTATTCGAGAGATAGGTTAGATAGATAGATAATGTTATTGATAAAACACATGTATCTGTGTACAGAACGAGTTTACAAATTACAAATTGATTATTATATTAATAGTACTGCATAGTAAAGCAATTAGGTGGAAAATAGCTCTTGCCACACGCTGTTTTGATTATTTTTTCCACCTAATTTCAATAATGATAACAACGTACATTTTAATTAAATAGATTTAAGGAGAACTATTAGAGATCAGGTTAGGTTTAGACAATTTCTGCAGGCCGAGAGCTGCGGCTAGGGGGCAGATCGCTGCGGCTGGGGGCCGGCACTGCGGCCACAGGTCCACCTAGCAGCTGTAAAAACATATGTGCTATAGTAGGTTGGTTGTGTATATTGTGTAGTATAGCAGATTTGGCGTATAGGTCAGAAGTGAAGTATAGCGGATTTTCGTAGGTCGTAAGATACACCATCCTATAAATTTACCCTTCGTAATCGTGTCCTGGGAAAATAAACTTATTCACAGGGCAAGGGCGTAAACAGTAATAGATATACGGAGGGGCCATATTTTTTTCCCCCCCCCCCCGTAGGAGCTCCTAAGGTGGGAGCAAAATTTGAACTGTAAATCATTTGGCGCTTCTTGGATACATACTGTCCAAGTACCTTGCAAGTATAACTATAGCTATAATTAAATCGCTCCTTCTATGCAAAACCTTGCAGTGATAACCAGAAAACTGTAAACTTGGAAGACGACAATAAAGCAATGCTGAAGTGCCATGATGTTGCTGCAAAGCAAATAGCTTAACTTGTAAAAATCATATCACTTATAAAGTGATATGCATTTGTTCTAACTACACAATTGCTGTTTCTCATGTTCATTGGCCTATCTAAAGTCATAACTTAATTCTAAAAGTCGTCTTTATTTTTTGTTTTCAGGTTCTCACTGTATAGAAAAAAACAGCAAACTTGGTTTTTTAAGCTTTTCACTCCTCAGTTTAGAAAATTGTTATATCTCTAATAGATCCAGAAAATTTCTAAATCTTATAAAATAACATTGAAATTGATGGCATTACACCATGGTACTAGCTGTGACTAGATAATGATTAGCCATGGGTATATCCATATTACTGCAGGAATTGCGAGCAGAGTATACGGTCTAAAAGTTTACAAATCTCAGCAAATTCGAATATAATATGGAAAATGATTTATTATTGCAAACTATTGTAAATTAAGCAAAGTAGTTTTCTGTATTCCTTTCTATGAGTTTCAAGAATTGATATTTTGACACCTAGCGGCGAAAATATAAACTATTCGAGTTTCAGCTAATAACCACTGACTCTAAGGAGGAATAGGAGAGAAGGAGGATTAATTTTTAGTTTTGATCGACTACACGAATTGGGGAAAATATCTATCTCAGCCCCTGCAATTGCGCGCAATTTGCTTCCGCCATTGCATTGCGCAGAATTGTGCTATATTAATTGAGAACAATTAAATATTCGCGGAATTGCGTGCAAAGGAATTGCTTATTTCCATCAAAATATCAATAATTTCAACTGTGACTTACAAATTTATGCAGCAGATACAAGAATGGAAATGTCTCTGTAGATTTTCCAAAATCACTTGTTTCAACCAAGAAATATATAGATCAGGTACCACCAATGGATTGTTTAAACTGCACATGGCTGTTTCTCATGTTGATGGCCTATTTATCATACTTAAAATTGTTTTACAGGGTGTCCCACGAAACATGACAGTTGGTGAATAGTTTTGAATGTCTTCTTCCATATCAAGTATTTAAAGACTATCTTAAACTATCTTAAATATTAAAGACTTTTAAAGTTTATTTCTCTATAAAAATCTTTTTAATAAAATATAGTTTAGGTTGAAATCAATTTTACTATAATATGACTTCCAAAATTCCACGTCATATTTTTTTTCTTTCTGATGTTTGGTATCCAAAAATTTCGCAAATTAAGGAAGAAGGCATTTAAAACTATTCACCAACTGTCATGTTTCGTGGGACACCCTGTATCTAATGGGACACACTCGCTTGTAATTACCTATCATGCATTTTCAGTCGGCTATGGATGTATTTATTCCTCTTTCCTTACAATATAAAAACTGAGATGTAACATAAAAGTAGACCATTTTGTTACGCGTATTTTAAGGGTTTTCGAAAATAAACGAAAGTTACTCATTTTTAAGTAGGACTCACTGTATCTATCCTGTTGTAACTCTCCTATTGGTCGGAAATAGTTCCACCATGAGAGCGAGTCTACTATTGGTCAGTTGGGACCGAGATTTACCTGAGAAACAAAATCCGACTCATTCAGTATACAGAGCTTGAGCTGTCAACAATAGTAAATCAGTTCTAAAATCTAGTCGGTTCTCAGGTTTATCTTTTCAGACTCTTGTAATGGCTTGGACGGATTAGAATCCTTTTTTATATTTTCCATCTATCCGGACGCCAGCATATGTAAGTATGACGACCTTTTATTGAGTATATATATAATTTCCCGTTTGCGCAGTAAAAGGAGTATGCCCGTAATATTTTGTAAACCGCATTAGAATCTGAGACGTTTTGTGAATCCTCAGTTTTAAACATTTATATTTAGTTAGTTTTGTCAAAGTTTAACCCTGATATTATTTTTATTATGCAGATTTGATCCACAGAAACGTGTTTCCAGACAGAAAAGAATGGTTTAAACCTTTTACGGTTGCATACTTCAAGTCTGGACGCGGGATACGAAGAACGGTTACTTGAGATGGAATCTAGGTAAATAAAAAGGATTTCTTTAGACTACGAGTTTTGGTTTTTATTTTACCGATTCACGCTTAACACATTTTCACTTGTTGGTCAATTCACAGCAGTTTCACAAGAATTTTTTTCCAGGTTATATTTACGCCACCTTATTTACTCCAGGCTGTATTTGCACCAGTTTCATATAGATCTATTTACCCCAGGCTGTATAAGTTTCATATAGATCTATTTACCCCAGGCTGTATAAGTTTCATATAGATCTATTTACCCCAGGCTGTATAAGTTTCATATAGATCTATTTACTCCAGGCTGTATTTACAGCAGTTTCATATAGATCTATTTACTCCAGGCTATATTTGCACCAGTTTCATATAGATCTATTTACTCCAGGCTGTATTTACAGAAGTTTCATATAGATCTATTTACTCCAGGCTGTATTTACAGCAGTTTCATATAGATCTATTTACTCCAGGCCCTTTATTTAGAGCAGTTTCATATAGATCTATTTACTCCAGGCCCTTTATTTACAACAGTCTTGTGTGGATTTATTTACATTAGTTTCACATGAATCTATTTACTCCAGGTTGTAGTTATCAATGGTTCCTCTTCAAACTCTCGCTTTCTCCTAAATCCAGTGTATATCTTGTCAATCATTAAAATAAAGAAATTCAGGGGTTCCATTTATGCGTGTAAACTGTAAGTGTGTCACACTTTTTCTGAATTTTTTTATATAGTGCCTCCTTAGTGCATGGTGACTTCTGAAAAGTGTGTCCTATATGTGTTTCCTCAATGCGTGTCCCTAATATTTATTTTCAATGATTGTCCTCAATGAGCGTCCTTAAATGTATCCTGAATATTAGTCCTCAAAGTGTGTCCTTAATATGTACCCTCATTATGTATCCTCAATGTGCGTCCTTAATATGTATCTTCAATGCATGTCCTTGATATGTATCTTCAATGTACGTCCTTGATATGTATCTTCAATGTACGTCCTTGATTTTTACCCTCAGTGTGTGCCCCCAACGTATGTCCTCAATGCGTGTCCTCAATGTGTCTCCTCAATGGGTGTCCTCATTGTGTATCCCCAATGTGTGTCCCCAATGTGTGTCCTTAATGTGCGTCCTCAATGTGCGTCCTCAATGTGTGTCCATAATGTGTGTCCTCAATGTGTGTCTTCAATGTGTGTCTTCAATGTGTGCCTTCGTTTGTCTTCAATGTGTGTCTTCAATGTGTGTCCTCAATGTGTGTCCTCAATGTGTGTTCTCAATGTGTATCCTCAATGTATGTCCTCAATGTGCGTCCTCCATGTGTGTCCATAATGTGTGTCCTCAATGTGTGTCTTCAATGTGTGTCTTCAATGTGTGTCCTCAATGTGTGTCCTTAACGTGTGTCCTTAATGTGTGTCCTCAATGTGTGTTCTCAATGTGTATCCTCAATGTATGTCCTTATTATGTATTCTCAACGTGTCCTCAATACCCGTCCTTGCTATGTGTCCTCAAAGTGTGTCCCTAAAATGAATCCTCAATATTTTTGTTTCAATTTGCTTCCTCAATCTAATGAGTCGCTATTTTTATCCCAGGGCATAGAAAATTATCCGGTGAGGGGATTAATCTTTAAAATATCTACCCCTGTATCATGAAAATTACGTGTAAGATATATTCCTTGTATCCTGGGTATTCCAACCCTGTTGCATTAGCTCATTTTGCATCCGCTTCTCTGCTTCCCTCTGGTTCTAAATTTAGAAATAGATTAAGATTTATATTCTGATCATTATAATATTATAATATTAAAAATGTAAGGCTTAATCGTAGTACGATTTATGAACCCATGTTTGCTTATAAAATAAATGGGTTAGATTTTTTTGATAAAGTGACCAGCTATTGAGACGCATAATATAAAGACACTTACTCCCTGTAGCAAAATGGTCCCTTGATCCTTAATCTAATCCTTCTTTTCCTTTTTGACCGATATCATTTAACCCCCGGACCACTTCTTATCTCGTGCTGAGCCAGGGGTGCATATTTTCTTAAAAAATCATTTCCCCCCCTCTTTTTCTTGAAAATCAATCTGAAAGACTGAATTACCTGTAGATCTTGTTCCGTCATAGCTGGGCCAATATTAGGTAAATACTGGAGGAATATGTCAGGGTGTAGGCTTGTATATGCAGGGTTCAACTAGAAATATACTGTGTACTGAGTGATAACTAAAATCTCTGAAAAGGTAATAATAAATTTAAAAGTTAGTAGATCAGGATTTTTGAATGAGAGAAGACCTACTCATCCTTCTAAAGTTTTATCTATATTATACAGTGAAACCCTTAATAACGAATACATCGAAAGAATTCATCAAATGTCGTATTCTTCACCTTCTGATAATGGAATGTTGCAGATATTTAGTTTTTTAATTAAATGATTATATGGAACTCTTTAAAACTGTTCCCGCATATTCATGGCTATTTATTTATTTTCGAAAATACTGAAATTTACGCATTATACTATAAAACTCGTTGAAAAATTGTCAAGACGACATTTGATAAATTCTTCCGATGTATTCGTTATTAAGGGTTTCACTATAGGCTCAGTAACATCTCGACATATAACATTTCGCATATAACAACTCTCCATATAACAACTCGCCTAAGTAACATTTCGCCATATAACAACAACTCGCCTATATATTTTTTTAATTAAATTGTAGTGTAAATAAAATTATACCAGAAAATCCACGAATCAAAAACCCAAAAATCCCAAATACAGTAATTCCAACAATGTCGGGAGTACTGCATGCATCTACAACTCAGCGGGGGAAACCATCTTTGGTTGACATAAACAACTTGTATACTAAATTTAAATCTTCCTTTATATGTATCTATGTATTCATCAATATAGATAAACAAGGTTTCATAATTTTATATAATTACATATATACTTTCTACTAAACTACTAATAAACTACTACTTTCTACTAAAAGAAATTTATTATTTTGTTTTTTGTTTTTATATGGCGAGCTGTTATATAGGCGAGTTGTTATATCTCGAAATGTTATATGGCAAATTGTTACATGGTGAAATGTTACTTAGGCAAGTTGTTATATGGCGAAATATTACTTCTAGGAGAGATGCTATAGAGCCATTTAATCATTTAGTAACAATAACAAAACTTCCAAACTGATATCCAAGAGCTGTTCTTACATATGAAACACCAAATAAAAAACATTTTGAATTGTGAATTATATTTTTTACACCCTAAAATTGCTTTTTGATGCAAATTCTTGCTTCGAATACAATATTGTGCGTTGGAATAGTTTTGGATTCCAATAGTGTAAAATAGAAAGAATTATAATTAATGTCTCTCTTAATTCTTAATTCAAATTTAACAGATTATTTTTTTTTGGTATCACTCAACTTAAGAAAAATGTCCAAGAAAGGCATATGTTGAATACACCCTGACAAAAACTTGAATTTTGCAGTTATGTGATACTAGCATAATTTAATTCACGGCATAATACAGCGTAGTTCAAAGTTGACACTTAACACATTTTTATTAAGACTTTCTGATTTAAAAAAATGGTTGTCTACCAGATGCAGCTGTTTACAGATGGTTGCCATCTTGACTGGCTGGACAGAGAACGGTTTAGACTGGGCTTCTGCCATTAGCGCTGAAAATAAATAAATAAATAAATTTTCGTGAAATGGTTGTCAGAGGTTAGAACTTCCCTTCAAGAAACCAAATATTTTGTAATCTTAATTAAATGCTTTTAGACATCTATAAATGGCTCTTGGTCAGCCATTCTTCACAGATTAAGCAATTAATAGCTTTTTTTTAACAAATTACATTATCATTACAAAACAGGAAATGGAAAATGCTCATATATTTGTGAATGTGTATAAAGAGTACAAAATGCTCATATATTTGTGAATGTGTATAAAGAGTACAAAATGCTCATATATTTGTGAATGTGTATAGAGAGTACAAAAAATACGATGAAAAGTATTAACCAATTGCATAGAAGCTTATCAAAGAAATGGGTGACCCATAAAGGATGAGACTGTAAAGACGACTTCATACTCATAAACTATGACGATCCCAAGTTTACGTTAAGTATTGTGCCATTGACGTAGTCTTTAAACTTGGCTTATTTAATGAATTGGCGAAGATAAAAAGAAGTTTTTATACATGAATATAAAGAAATATCGTACAACTGTCTCTGAAGCAGTGCTTAGGATCCATTTAATTTTGATGCGGATCCGGATCATGGATCCGCACTGGAAAAAAATGGATCCGGATCCGGATCCAGGTCATTTCTTTAAAATTTACTGAATTTTTTCAACAAAAGATAATTTTTAAATTTTTTGTTTTATTTTTTTCGCTTATTTTTATCATAAAACTTGATAAATCATTCATTTTTTGCTGTTTTTGGTTGATATTTTACCCCAAGCCAAAATCTTGTGGATCCGGATCCTAAGCACTGCTCTGAAGTCTCGTACTTTGTGGGTAACCCTGTATGTCCTGACCCAAAAGTTTATGCAACGAAGTTTAAATAAAAATAAATGAAACAAAAAAAGCGTTATGCAAAAAAGCAATAAAGAGAAAAGTTTTTCTTTGGAACAATGAGAGGGAATTTAACATCTTTAATTTTTTTTTCCATTATCATCTTTTAATTCATAGATTTGTCATGAAATGTGATCGAATTTGAGAGCGATGAACCAGTAATCAGACGGATTAGCGGTGTCTCATACAATAGTTCCGACCTCAAATGAGTGAGCATGATTTAAACTGAAACTTACGTAGAAGACGATTAACATGAAGATCTGTGTACATTGATGAGAATATTTTCATAAGTTCCTCCTGAAGGCTAGTTTTCAGCTTGGTTTCAATATAATTTCGACTCTAAACACAAATATCCACAAATGACATTTATAAGAAAATGACAAAATATGGACTGCATTTTTTCTTCAGATCTTAATCTATTAAAGAAAAATGAAAGGTATCTAAAAATCAATATCCTTGCCATCTTTTCAGGTAAAAGGTTGCAATTTATATTTTAACCAAAGAATTTAGTCGTTGCCAAAAATTCAAATTTTCTAATCCCTATATTTGTGCAATCTGATGGCATAAACCTTTGATATTTCAAACTTAATCTGACAGAATTAATAGTTTAAATATCTAAGGCCTACAACATTAGGTTGCATATGTTAAGATTAGACATTAAGAGTTTGTGGCAAAGACGTTTTCAAAGATCAAAGACGACAATCTTTGTCCATAACTCCTCTCTCAACATTTATCAGTCTTCAGTAATCAATGACGATTGTTATTATTCCTTTCTCAATTGTTATAATAAGTGGGACAAACTGTATTTCTAAAACTAAATTTACCAGGTAAAGGAAGATACGAACAATGCCCTCAGATGCATGGAAAAATTGAACTGATGAATCGTGGAAGGTGTCGATTAGGTTTTCATCAGGAACCTAGAACATAAATATAAATATATAAGGAACCCTCAACACAACTATAAAAATATCAAGAACCTGGAACACAAATATCAAAATATCAGGAACCTGAAATACAAATATCAAAATATCAGTAACCTGAAATACAAACATTAAAATATCAGAAAACTGGAACACCAATATAAAAATATCAGGAACCTAGAACACAAATATCAAAATTTCAGGAACCTGGAATACAAATATCAAAATATCAGGAACCTAGAACAAAAAAAAATAAAATATCAGGAACTTGGAACACAAATATTAGATTACCAGGAACCTAGGACAACGATATCAAAATATTCAGGAACCTGGAACACAAATATCAAAAAGTAATTTTTGAAAACAAGCTAATAAACTCTAACAGTGGTATAATAAAACAAGTACATGGGAATTCCGAATTATAAATAATCTTAAATCGTTTTTGAACAATCTGGTATTTTTAGTGAATACATCAGGGGTCCATGTAATTCCTTTTTCATCCCATTTGGGATTGAGATATTTGAAAGAAATGGGGGTAAATTTTTTTTAATGATAATTTAAAAAAAATTGGGGGCATTTTTATTTGATTGGGGGCATTTTTTTTAAATTGGAGGCAAATGTGTTATTGTAATTCGAAAATGTTTTTTAATTGGGGGCATTTTTGTAATTGGGGGCATTTTTTATAATTGGGGGCAAATGGGGGCTAATGTGTATTTTTTTTAAGTTGGGGGCAAAAAATTATTTTGAGATCGAGAAAATCAGCTATTTTGGGAATTATATGGACCCCTGGAATACATTATTTCGGGTTAACCCATTACTAACAATAAAAACTAAAAATTTATTGGGTTTTTACAAAATGTGTTTTGCCATTTCAGATCTTTAAAACTTCATAACTAAAAGCATTAAAAATTCTAAAGCAACGACGATCGTAGTGTTTTCTCTTAGTTCCCATTTTTATCAGAACACCCTGTATTGTTGTGTTACCTGATACATGAGTTTCGACCACTCTGCCACCCTAGTTCTCATGTGATTTATTAGATCCTGGTATAATCGTTCACTGTACTGTTTACATACACACGAGTACACATTACTGTACATCTGATAAATAGATAAATATGATCTATATAATAAAATAAGTCATTCGTATATATGTTCCCTATAGCCGGCCAAACGGCTGGACCTAATGGTCTGAAATTTGTTGAGGGAACCCATAGCTTGCCTGGAGGAGCCCATACAAAACATATCACCACAAAACTTATCACCACAAAACTTATCACCACAAAACTTATCTTTTCAAAACTTATCAGCGACAAAACTTATCATCCCAAAACTTATCAAACTACAAAACTTATCAAACTACAAAACTTATCAAAAAAAAACTTATCAACTACAAAACTTATCAAACTACAAAACATATCAAAATTAAAACTTATCAATAAAATACATGAATCTAAATTTTCAAATCATGGAAATGTTCCAAAATTTTTTTAAAAATCCGCGAATTTTACTAGAAAATTAGGTAAAAGCTCAGTTTTCCAGCCCCTTTCCACCGAGATGGAGGATACTTTTGTTCTCTCACAGAAGGGTACAAACTTACTTAAGGATGATGAAAATCATCTGTACAACAAATACAAAGAGAACAAGAACAAGACCTGAAGGCTATGTGTGCAAGCTTTGATAGTGTACCCTTGAACACATATCTGTTTAATATTGCCAGCCTATTTACAGATGAATAATGATTTATATCTATAAATTCTAAGTCGGGTTTTAGTTGTAACAACTTTTAAAAAGGTTTTGAAAAATAAGTTTTTTAGTTATTTTAATAAGTTTTGAGTTTAATAAGTTTTGTAGTTTGATAAGTTTTGTAGTTTGATAAGTTTTGTGATGATAAGTTTTGTTTTGATAAGTTTTGTTGTTAGATAAGTTTTGTTTTGATAAGTTTTGTGGTGATAAGTTTTGTGGTGATAAGTTTTGTGGTGATATGTTTTGTATGGTCTCCTGCCTGGAGGGTAACATTGGCTAAAAAAGTTCTAAAACTTGTGTTTTTCAAAAATAGTTTTTTTAATTTCCACGGGCAACGCCGGGTCCTTGAGCTAGTAGTTAAAAAATTAAGGTGAATAATTATTCAAGTAAAAACTAAATATCTGCATTCTGCAGCATTCCCTTTATCATTAGGTTTAGAAAACGACATTTTACTGTAACAAATAAATAAATCCCCCACTGTAAAAAATCATTTTTCAGATAGTAAATCAAAAATACAAAATTGTACTGGACAAAGGTTGAAAGGTACCGTTGTGAATCTGGCATGTAACTCTAAAAAAAGAAGTTCCCTTGAAATAACGTTGACATGACGCTCTAAAAACAGGGAGGGTGGGGTATTAACTTCAAAACTAACCTCCTCAAATGATATAGGTCTACATCCCTGTGGAGGGGGAGTCAACATTTTATCAATTGCTTCTCGTAATCTTCCCCAGTACTTCTCCTGGTACTCAGACGCGCTCATTACGCTAGAATAACAATCAATCAATAAACAAGAAAAAACTATTAATTGCTATCACAGAAGACGAAAAAGAGATATAATTTAAGAATTAAGAAAAATCAATCAATTAGATGAAAAAATCAAATAATAAAAATCAATTATTAACGAAGAATAATTATTAAGTTACTTCAAAAATCAATCTTAAATAGGTTTAGTTTATTAGATCAAATTAAATTTGACTTCTAGGGATGTTCCACTGGGTTAAAGGATTTGAAAAAGTTAATTTATCTTGATTTGTTATGGATACATAACAGGAATTGGTGCATACAGCTAGATATAAAAAGATAGAAATATAAAATATAAGATATGTTTCCGACTTACTTAAGATGAGAACGGCAACGAGGTTCTGTAGATTCCTCCATTAGAGCCATCTTCTAAAATTTTAAATTTTTAAAATCATGATAACTTTAAACACATCTTTATCAAATCTTAAAGAGGTTGTAAATTTTGTGAAAATAATTCCAGAGATTTTATTTTTGACATTTAAAATATTTAGTTCTATCCGTACCCTGATTTTCGATTTTAAAATCGTTTTTCCTTTGATTGCGTCATTCAGAATCCCGATTTAAAACTTTATTTTAGGCAGAACCACTAATTAATTAACGTCGTCTTTAGAGTTTTAATTCGTCATGAAAATATTATCCTTGGCAGAAAACCCTGTAACATTGTCCAGTACTTACCATGAAAATATTATCCTTGGCAGAAAACCCTGTAACATTGTCCAGTACTTACCATGAAATGCCACACCCGTAAAAACTGGAATTACAATTTTTTCATTTTGAAAATCTGAAATATTTTACAATTATTAACATCACACAAATCAAATACAAGTGCTCATGAATGATAACAGGATTATTCTGAACAAAACGGAAGAAAAGGGTGAACAATAAAAAAACCATACATATTAATATAATTTATACAATTTAAACAAAGAACTACAACCATTAAAAATGTTTAACAAAATTTACGAAAAAAGAATAACTTAACGTATCACAGTACAGTAATAAATTGAAAAAGAATTGTATTTTTGAGAGAAAAGAATCCAAATAAGAGAAAAACTGGTTTAAGATTGTTCTAATCAATTTAATATTCAAGATACTACAGTTAATCACTAAATAAGCCATACATCGAAAGAATTCATCAAATTCTTCACTTTCTAATAATGGAATGTTGCAGATATTTAGTTTTTAATTGAATGATTATATGGAGCTCTTTAAAACTGTTCTCGCATATTCATGGCTATTTATATATTTTCGCAAATACTGAGATTTACATATTAGTATAAAACTCATTAAAAAATTGTCAAGACGACATTTAATAAATTCTTTCGATGTCTGGCTTATTTAGGGTTTAACTGTAAGACAATATATAAGACGCATTAAAATGCTGTCCATCAAAACTCTTAAATATTATTAAGAATCCATGTATCCGTATCACAGAATAATGGAAAACAAAGCCAAAAACTTTTAAATGAAGGGTTAAGTAACTTCTCTCCCCCTCCTCCAGAAACTCTTTTATAAACCATTTTTCACGCCTCTAATTGGTCAACGCAGATGTCTGAATAATACAACCGTGACAAGAAAGAAGTCGGCATTAAAACAAGCCAAGTTCTTGAATCCAAAAGTTTCTGTCAAGTTTTGGCTTTGCAGCCCCATCAAAAGTTCCCAACTCAGATAAGTTTAATCAGTAAGTTTCTCCCATGATAAGAACAGTTAAAGCTGACCAGCCTGTAAAGGGTTTACACCCTTGCCCCTCCCCAGTCCTATCATTATACTGTTCCCAGATATACCCAGTCCTGTAGTACTCCTTCATCACGTTGTTCACCACACCTTCTCTCAACGTCTTGTACACCTCACCAGCAAGCGCCTTATACGGACCCTCTCTTTGCGCGTAGTGATGCAGCGCGCGAATCGCCAGGTAGTTGATGTTGATCCAAATGGGTCCTCGCCAGTAGGGCGCGTCATGTTCAGTATTCTTCTTCATGTAGAGAGGGGCAGACTTGGCTAGCGATCTCAATCCGTAGGGAGTATACAAAAGGTCAGGGTTCAGTAGGTCCTTAATTATAATATATATATACACAGAATACAGGAGGTCATGGTTCAGTAGGTTCTTAATTACAATATATTTATATACATAGCACACAGGAGGTCAGGGTTCAGTAGGTCCTTAATTATAATAGATATAAATAGCATACAGAAGGACATCAGGGTTCAATAGGTTCTTAATTATAATATATATATATATATACATACACATAGTACACAAGAGGTCAGGGTTCAGGAAGTCCTTAATTATAAAATATATACATAGTATACAGGAGGTCAGGGTTCAGAAGGTCCTTATTATAATATATACATAGTATTATTGATTATTAATTTTTAAAATGAATTGGTTAGAAATAAGATTGTACCTTGAGAATGATTTCTAGTTTAGGATTGTTAGGTTCTAATATCTCCAGGAGAAACGGGAACAAGGAAACATATCCGTAGGAGTTGACGAACCCTAGTTGGGGATCCGACATGGCGTGTCTAGTTTTCTCCGGAGAGTGGTGTCGGTGTCCCCCCGGGGGTGGTTTAGGGCGCTGGAGAGATACCTCATCAGTATGCAGACCCCAGTCCAAGAAGGCCTATAGATAGACAGTAGTTTTAGTTTTTAAGTGACAATTTTTTACAAAATAAAATAGAATTCTTAGAAGCGTCTTAATGTATACTTAATTTATTTGTTATATCTACGAGAGATGAAAAGATGAAAATATTTTCATATACCAAGATTTAAGCTGTTGCCCGTGGTATTGGTGGATGGTTTGTTATGTTTCACAGTGGAGTTTGAATTTTTTGTATAATAGCAAAATATAAAAGTTATTAACAAAAATGATAGTGAGGACCGGGAGACAATTCATATTCTATTGAGTCATTTCCCTCAAATATCTTACAAATCACATAATAATCCAAAACAAAACATTAGATTATTTGTTTTTCACATTACTATATTTACCAGGGGGGGGGGGGTGGTCCTTCCTAATTGTTAATACCTGGTGGGTCTGTGACCAGTGCCTGAGTTCCAGGTATTGATTATTGTATAAGAAGTTGGCAGTTTTCTCAAACTTTTGATAATCCGCCCGACCAAGTAGTCGTCCTAAATACAGATAATCAATGGTGTATCTTTCGTTCTACGCACATCCGCAATATAATAAACTTCTGATAATCCGCCCGACCAAGTAGTAGTCCTAAATACAGATAATCAATGGTGTATCTTTCGTTCTACGCACATCCGCAATATAATAAACTTCTGATAATCCGCCCGACCAAGTAGTCGTCCTAAATACAGATAATCAATGGTGTATCTTTCGTTCTACGCACATCCACAATATACTAAACTTCTGATAATCCGCCCAACCAAGTAGTCGTCCTAAATACAGATAATCAATGGTGTATCTTTCGTTCTACGCACATCCACAATATACTAAACTTCTGACCTACTCACTCGTAGGTTTACTGCTGGAAGTTGGCAAGTGGCCGAAGCGCCCGACCCTCTAGCCTGTCCTAGCGAGGCGTTCGGCGATCCAGCCTGTCTTAAATTCAGCACTTGGTTTAGAAATTGCCTCGATCTAACTTAACCCTCAAATTATACAAAATAAACAGCTGTCGTAGGTCGGATATTGCAGCAAAGACTATGATGAATAATAATAATAATGAATCCTTGGAAATCAGGCTTAAGCTCCTGTCCAGTTTACCAAGGTTTGAACTGAGTGTGAATTCAGGGGTGAGTGTTAAGCCAATGGCGGTTTGTTAGAACCCTTTCAGTTCACTTTTCAGATTTTTACTATAGAAAGAGTGGGGGGGGGAGTGCAAAATAAATATTTACCTATATCTGCCATAAGTTTTGAGGCTAGTGCCATCCAACATCTCAAATCAAGATGTCGTTCATCCTAAAACAAAAACATTGCTCATAACAATAAAGCCTTTCAACATATAATAATAGCATGTCTATTTGTCTTTAATTGTATTGTTTTTATCTATATATATATACTTTGCTTGTCTGTTTGTATTCGATCGGGCCCAAATTTTGCGTGGGACCTCACGTGACCCTAGGAAAGGTTAATGAATAATCAAAATTTCACAAATTAGCCTCAAACAAAATTCAATTTTTATTAAATTTTAAAAATCTACGAACTTTTTTTATTAAATCCGCGAAAATTTTGATTGTTATTGTTTTACAATGTATACAAAGAGCAAATGAAGAGGGCCATTTCCGATACACAACGGTACCCTTTGAACCTTTCTCTGATTAATATCGGAGACTGGAGGGTCACTAAAAATTAAGAACTAGAGCAAATGTGCAGTGTGTTCACCTTCACAGTAATACATATATCAGATAATTTACTTTCCTTAAACAATTGAAACGAAATTTTCACAAAAAATTTAATTTCTTTGCACAGAAACTGGATTACTAACTGCAAAATAATTATGTTATCATAAAATGCGTACTGGACCGGTACTCCCGGTACCTTAGTTGGATGAGAAGCTCGTGGATAATCATCTAATCCAGAGGTTAAAGTTTTAGGATTCAGCTCCCTTATTCAATATCAATCAAATACAAGATATTAAAAATGAAGACGCTTGTTTGTATAATATGTAATAAAAATGTTACGTAAAATTGTGGAAATGCAACAAGAAATAGTAGTTTCTGAAATGTAGGCACGTGTAAAGGTAATTTACCGGGGGGAAATCTAAAAATAATGAAATTTACAGGGTGAGAGCAAAAATAAAGGTGAATATCGAGATCTTACATATAATAAAGCATATTATTTTGATTATTTCATTTTTGAAAAATACCTATGAAATTTTTGATCTTTTTTTTGTTTGACAGGCAACCTTATAGACTTTTTAAAAAATCGGGAAACTATTATTTACTAAAAATTAGATAAGTAGAAAAAGTGTATATTTAGATAATCTTCTTGTAAATGACAAATCCCTGATAGCTGAAGCATTCCTCCCCCTCCATCTGTACGTTCCTCGGGTTTCTCCAACCTTAAAGTGAAAAGTTTTTATAAGAGAATAAATAAAACTTTGAAACGGATCGTAGGTTTCCGAATATTAAGTAAAGTGTTAAATCAGCCATGTCCTGTAGGTAAGGATATTATATTTGTTCATGAAAGAAAAAATATTTTAAAAATAAACTAAAATTAGGCTCATTCAATGCCGCCGCAAGCGAAGTTACAAAAATCTGAAAAGGTACTAGATGTTACCCACTCTCTCTGGTTGCCCCACACCGCCTCCAATTTTCCAGGGGGGGGGGCGTCCCCCCAATTTTCAAGGGGAGTAACATTGAACATTGAACATTGAACATTGAACATTGAACATTGAACATTGAACATTGAACATTGAACATTGACTATTGACTATTGAACATTGAACATTGAACATTGAACATTGAACATTGAACATTGAACATTGACCATTGAACATTGAACATTGAAAAATAAACAATGAACATTGAACATTGAACATTGAACATTGAACATTGAACATTGACCATTGAACATTGAACATTGAAAAATAAACAATGAACATTGAAAATTGAACATTGAACATTGAACATTGACTATTGAACATTGAACAATGAACAATGAACATTGAACATTGAACATTGACCATTGAAAACATTGAACATTGAACATTGAACATTGAACATTAAACATTGAACATTGAACAATGAACTTTGAACATTGAACATTGAACTTTGAACATTGAACATTGAACATTGAACATTGAACATTGAACATTGAACATTGAACATTGAACATTGACTATTGAACAATGAACAATGAACATTAAACATTGAACATTGACCATTGACCATTGAACATGGAACATGGAACATGGAACATGGAACATGGAACATTGAATACTGAACATTGAACATTGAACATTGAACATTGAACATTGAACATGGAACATTGAACATGGAACATTGAACAATGAACATTGAACATTGAAAATTGAACATTGAACATTAAACATTGAACATTGATCATTGACCATTGAACATTGAACATTGAACATTGAACATTGAACATTGAACATTGAACAATGAACATTGAACATTGAACATTGAACATTGAACAATGAACATTGAACATTAAACATTGAACATTGATCATTGACCATTGAACATTGAACATTGAACATTGAATACTGAACATTGAACATTGAACATTGAACATTGAACATTGAACATTGAACATTGAACATTGAACAATGAACAATGAACATTGAACATTGAACATTGAACATTGAACATTGAACATTGAACATTGAACATTGAACATTGAACATTGAACATTGAACTTTGAACATTGAACAATGAACTTTGAACATTGAACATTGAACTTTGAACATTGAACATTGAACAATGAACATTGAACATTGAACAATGAACATTGAATATTGAACATTGAACATTGATCATTGACCATTTAACATTGAACAATGAACATTGACCATTGAACATTAAACATTAAACATTAAACATTAAACATTGAACATTGAACATTGAACATTGAACATTGAACGTTGAACATTGAACATTGAACATTGAACATTGAACATTGAACATTGAACATTGAACATTGAACATTGAACATTGATCATTGACCATTGAACATTGAACATTGAACATTGAACATTGAACATTGGACATTGATCATTGACCATTGAACATTGAACATTGAACAGACTTCGATAATCGTAAAGAACTGTTTCTTCTATCACAGTAAATATTTTGCATGCAGGCAAACTTTTAAAGCAAACAATTATGAAAGATGTTTTTATATAGAGCGTCCTGATAGCCAAAAAATCTTGAACATCAAGAAGACTAAAAAAACATTCCCATCTTCTGAATTACCTGCGTAGTATTGAACCACCCATACCACGTGATCAATCTAGGCCACATTCGCCTTAATAATATAATCATGATTATGTCCAATGGTTAAACGAGTACGATACATCTTACCAAGATACTAATATTCCCCCCCCCCCTTTACATCAATCCAGTAAACCCTTAAACCCTGAAGGGACTGTAAGCACACTCTAAATTACACTCAGTCCCTTTAAGTAAACCCCTTATAAACTTATCACTTATTAGTTTCCTCCCTCCCACTATGGTTCACAGAGGGGTATTCAGTCCCAAGTACAGCGGGGGTTCCCCCCACCCCCACTGAAAAGTGAAAAAGCTTTTGTCCCCCCATCCTTCTGGAAAAATCCCTACATACGTCCATGTAACCTACCTCAGGTACTCCCTCCACCAGTCGTTCATCCCCTCCTCCAGCTCTCCGACGATCTTGTGCAGGGTGAGGAGCAAGGTTGGAGGATTAGCGTTCCTTTCAAACAAATATTTTAACCACGACAAAACATTATCTGTCATTTCAATCTTTAAACAAATGAGAATTAAAAAATACCTATCAAAAAGTAGAAAATAAAAATAAAAGATAGAATAATTGTGTAAAAGGAATAAAAGTAGAAAACCCGATGGCAAAAAAATGTTGAATTTAAATTTGATTTAATTCAGCACATTTCAATTCAATAAAATATGATATAAATTAGGACTAGAAAAATCAGTATTATCTAAAGAGCCAGGAAAAGGAAAAATGAGCCAGTATCAAAATTATTAACATTTTATTTTTCTGTTTTATTGAAATCATGTTTTATTTTATTTGGCAGAAAAGTTTATTTGTTCCAAATATTTTCCTGTTATGTTGTACTACGAATTCATCTGGAACCTTCGCTCTTGCTTCCTTTCCTAATATCTGCTCCCTGGGAAAAAAATTAATTATTTAGTAGGATTTGTCCAATATACTGTAGACATAATTTCAAATAGTCCTACATTTATGAGTGGCATGTCCGTTTCACAATGATATGATAGTTTTTACTGTCTAAAACTTGTTAATTTCCATTGTGTTTTCGCGAAAAAAATGACGACGATATCTTCCTCGCATCAAATTGGTTCATTTATATTTACAATCCATTCAAATATTTTAAAGATATTAAAGTTTGTTTTGGGCCTTTCTCCATTTCTTCCGAAATTATTAAGAACAAACACATTTTTAATTTTTTTNAGACAATCTTGTTTATTTAATATTATTTTTAAGAAAATAGCTATACGAGCTGCTTAAAAACCAAGTTATTTAGTTAACATTGCACGGTAAAATATATGTGACATGAATGGTACAACTCTGTAATGTAAATTGCTTCTCTAGTAATGATTGAGAGCTCAAGTTTGAGAAAAGCAAATTCACTCGGTTTCACATTCACACTACCGAAAATGGACCATCAGGTATGAAGTCAAAACACCTCAAATTTTCATTGGAATAAATTAATATGTAATTTACTGAGTTTAATCTCAATTTTCAGAAAATGCCACCCAGGGAATTTAGAGTAATTCCATTTTTAGGAAATCTGAGACGTCAGTGCATTTATAGGTCTAAAATCAAACGAAAATTTTATTTCAAGACTTTAATCTGCGATATTTTTTTAACATAAATGGCAAGGGTCCCAAAATTTTGCAATTTTTTATGAACAGTCATAAGACGTATTGAAGTAAAAAATCAAAGAATTAAGTCAACTGCTTGAATGTCAAGACACGCACTGAAAAAGTCTTTTTGATGTGGTTTTTACTGAATTTCACTATAAAAGACTTTTTTGGCAGTAATTAGGCAATCATACAGCTCACTTAAGGCTTCGATTCTTTTTGCTAAAACATGCATTTTGAAAAATTCAGGTTTACGGTTAAAAAAAAATACAGAATAAGCTTGATTAAGCCTTGCAACTTAAGTTACGTTTAATTTTAGACCTGTAAATTTACTAGATTTTTACAATTGCTTAAAAATGGATTTACTCTAAATTCCCTAGGTGGCATTTTCTTAAAATTGTGATCATAATTCAGTAGACTGCATATTAATATATTCCAAAGAAAAATTTAAGGTGTTTTGACTTAAAACCTGATTGTCCATTTTCAGCAGTGTGAATTTCAAATTACAAACATATTTTTTTTCTAAATATCTCTTCAAAAAAAGAGTTATGATTAAAAAAAAGTAATCTTACGTGAATTTACTTAGTTTGACGTGCTATTAAACTATTTCAAATCATAACTTGGTTCATTTTTTGGATTGTTTTTGAAATTTTTAATTCAAGGTCCTTTGGTAAAAAAAACTGTTTACAAAAAAGTTTATTATAAAGATTTTACATACAATATGCCAAATTTTGACCCGGACAGAAAATATGGGGAAAAAATAAAGCAAAAACGATCAGAAAAATAAAATAAAAATATTGCAAGTTTAATTAGAGCAAACCTTAACTTTTGATAGTTTTAAAATAATGGAAGCTTTATGAAAAGATTTAAAAAAACGATCCATAACGATTAACAAAACTAATAATACTTGCCTTGGTATCCATCCCTCTGTATTAAGTAAATCCATCCAGTGAGCCAGTATATCTCCAGATATATCTCTAAACATAATTATTCATTTTAACTGATGATTTAATACAAACTGTGATTTAAAAAATCAAATTTTTTGAAGCCAATTTGATACAGCAATTTGGGCGAGCAATAGTTAACATATAAGATGCCTCTATATGGACCAAAAACCCGTTAATAATTTTTGAAGATCGGGGGGGAAAAAATAAAAAATTGGGACACCAAAAGGCCAGTCTTTTTCCTCCTTTTTTTCATACATAATATTCAAAAAATGATTTATCTTCCACTAAAAATTAGTTATTTTCCCCAGTTCAGCGAATAAAATCATAAAAATATTTCGCTCAGTGCAAACACAATCATAGCTTTTGGGGTGTAAATAATTTTACAAGATAAAATACACCCCCTGAATGGAGAGCAGAGAAAGGTGTTCTCCGTGAAGGATATTTCAAACGACCCATGATTTTCCTACCTGTCCCAGCGCGAAATGAGAAGATTATGAAACCCTTCATCCCAGAGAAATCCACGAGGAAAGAAACTACGTGACGGTACACCAGTGTACAGTGGCGCATCCCAGTACGGTACAGGGGCAGCGTTGTACTTAGACTTGACTGAAAGAGATAAAAAATTGACTCTGATTTTTCGGAGAGAAAACTCATACCAAAAGATGATTTGTAGTAAATATGTGAACAAAGTGTTCTACGGTTCTACCGATTTAAAAACAATCTTACACATTGGGAATTGTTTTGCAGTTAGTTTGATTCTGAAACCAACAACAAAAATTTCTTGCTTATTTGACATGCAGTAAAAATTAGGAATTTAGCTACCTTGAAAATTTAAGCGTAAAAGAAGTATATTAGTTAAAAATCAGTTCATCAATTGTCCGTAGTGTTGCTTCAATGAATCCTTACCTATACTAGATCCGTGGAAGTATCCTATCCCACCCACCATATTGCTGAGAGCAGATTGAGCAAAGGATATTGCACTCGAATTGAAATTCTTATTTCCTTTAACATGTAAAAAATAAAAACATTAAAAAAATCCATCAAAATCCATCAAAATCGATTAAAATCTATCAAAATCTATCAAAATCTATCAAAATCTATCAAAAGCTATCAAAAGCTATCAAAATCTATCAAAATCTTTCAAAATCTTTCAAAATCCAACATAATCAATCAAAACCATTCAAAATAACTCAATGATAAAATCAGTGATATTTACTTATCGGCGAGAACTCGGAATTATCTAAAGCAGAAACCATTCAAATGAAGTCAAAGATAATAAATTTCACAATTTACCTAAATGAAATGTTTGCTCAAAACGTAGCTCAAACTTGTCGATCCAGTCCGATAAAGCTCTTATACAAAAGAATTCGAATTATATAAAAATAAATGTTGTATGTATGCATTTTTGAAAATTTGTGAATTTCAATTTCAAAGTTAAAAAAAATATTTTATTTAACAAAATTTTTTATTTATCATTTCCAAAAATAAGTAACATAATTATAATTATTTCCAAATTCAATATTAGTAAGTAATGTATTCTTAGTATGTGGATTATGGAATGTCAAAAAATAAGGAAAATTACACTGATATGTTTAAGACGTGAATTTGGAAAAATTAATGAATTTTTGGGTTTAGAGAATCTATTTAAGAAACAAACTTTCAAATTAAAATTCTAATTTTTTCCATTTTTTCAGTAGGAAGGGGGGGGGGCGTTGGTAAATTAAGGTTTCTGAAAAATTCTTGATTTCTTACTAACCTTGTATAATGGATATCTACAAGACTGTTTTCTCTATCATGATTACTTCCACTCTCAAACACAATATCTAATGTAACCGGACCCTAAACCATTTAGTCCATTATAAAATCAATCTAAAGGGACATTTTGAGGGACCCATCAAGTTTTAGAGCAACAATGAGTTTTTATTCAGAAGAACAGGTAATTTATGTCACTATCTTCCTTTGTCTTTGCTGCATAATTGTAAATCGAGCATGCAATTAGGGATGTTAACGTTTTCATTTTTTGAAAAAACGATAGTTTTTTCAAAAATTTCGTTTTTTAAAAAATGGTCGTTTTTAAAACGTTCGTTAACGATATTTAAAGAAGAGAGGAAACCGACCTGAAGGGAATCTGTACTTATCATTGAGCAGTTTTTTTTAGAAAATATCAAAAAGTTTTAGCTCCACCGCAACTTTTAACTTCAAGTAAGACGAAATTCAATAAAGTTGCATGTAATTTTTTTCCAAAACGATCGTTTTTATAAAGTTCGTCGTTTCATTAACGATCGTTAACGACAACCCTTCGTTAACGACGACCCTTCGTTAACGATTGTTAACATAATTGTCAATCGTTTTTGAAAAAAAACCGATCGTAATCGATTCGTTTTCTAAGAGTTCAAAACGAGAGGGTCATTTAAAAAAACAATCGTTTTTTAAAACGATTAAAAAACGAAACAAAAACAATCGTTAAACGATCGTTTTCAAAAACGATCGCTATTCGTTTTCTAAGAGTTCAAAACGAGAGGGTCATTTAAAAAAACAATCGTTTTTTAAAACGATTAAAAAACGAAACAAAAACAATCGTTAAACGATCGTTTTCAAAAACGATCGCTATTCGTTTTCTAAGAGTTCAAAACGAGAGGGTCATTTAAAAAAACAATCGTTTTTTAAAACGATTAAAAAACGAAACAAAAACAATCGTTAAACGATCGTTTTCAAAAACGATCGCTATTCGTTTTCTAAGAGTTCAAAACGAGAGGGTCATTTAAAAAAACAATCGTTTTTTAAAACGATTAAAAAACGAAACAAAAACAATCGTTAAACGATCGTTTTCAAAAACGATTAACAACCCAACATGCAATTCTTAAAATGGAGAGTCATTTGAAAATAGATTGAGAGTACGGTCCCTTCAAGCCTTTCACGTGAAACTAAAGTAAATTTCACGCAAGATTGAAATCTTATTTGTTGAACAATCATTTATCTATCTGTTTATCTATCTGTTTATCTATCTGTTTATCTATCTGTTTATCTATCTGTTTATCTATCTGCTTATCTATCTGTTTATCTATCTGTTTGTTTATCTGTTTATCTGTTTATCTGTTTATCTGTTTATCTGTTTATCTGTTTATCTGTTTATCTGTTTATCTGTTAATCTGTTAATCTGTTTATTTGTTTGTTTACTTATTTACTTATTTGCTTATTTGATTATTTGCTTATTTGCAATTTTGCTTATTTGCTTATTCGCTTTTTGCTTATTTGTTATTTGCTTATTTGCTTATTTGCTTATTTGCTTATTTGCTAATCTGTTAATCTGTTTATTTGTTTGTTTACTTATTTACTTATTTGCTTATTTGTATTTGCTTATTTGCAATTTTGCTTATTTGCTTATTTGCAATTTTGCTTATTTGCTTATTTGCTTATTTGCTTATTTGCTTATTTGCTTATTTGCTTATTTGCTTATTTGCTTATTTGCTTATTCGCTTATTCTATTAATCTATTAATCTATTAATCGATTATTATCATTATTCAATTATTCAATTAATCCTTTAATCGGCTATTCGATTATTCGATTATAGGTTGGTTGGTGGGTTGTTTGATTGATTGGTTGGTTGGTTTGTTGACTTTTTGGCTGGTTGGTCGGTTGGTTGGTTGGTTGGTTGTTAGTTCCTCTATTCATGATCTAGGAGAACAATACTAATTTCAATTACCTTCCACCAAAGCCTCCAAGCCCCGAGACCGTTTGACTGTCCTCTAATCTCTTGAAGAGACCCATCCTCTGCTAGAACAGGCTGGAGGTTGGCCTCGCTACCCTCCTCTAGTGCTACATAGTACATCAAACCAATCTCTGTATTTGCGTCCTAAATACAATTTAGAATGTTTTTATCTTCATGTATGTAGTTTTTGATAAAACTATTTGTACAATTTGGTTAATTTGCACGATCTCAAGTTTAATTAATTAATAAATAATAATAAATAATAATAATACACTAAATCTTTGTTAACTGAACCTATATTTAATCATCTATGTGGACGATATTGGCGTTTTTATAGCGTTAAAATTGTTAAAACTAATAATTTTTTCGTCCCAACAGAAGAAATGCGCATGTTCCTTTAGTACAAAAACCACACTTGAAAACAATAAAATTTTTGAAGAATTAAACATTGATATCGTATTCTTTCTTGAACAGACCTAGCTATTAAAGGTATCATTGAAAATCGGAATTGCAGTTTTACAAATAAAGTCAATTACAACTACGCCAACAGTTTCTTAAATAATGCTAAGCTGTTCGGCTAATTTCTATATTTGGTGTACTATGGATGAACAGTCCCTTCAGATAGGACACTAAATACTTAATTAAGTTACCTTCTTTTTGATTGGTTGAACCGAAATCCTATTTGACCAATCCCCACCGTGTAATCCTCCTCTCCGCTTTACAAAGCTTGTGGTCAGATTAACTGACCGATCAAGAATAGACTGAATACCAAAGTTCCGCCCTAGAATTACGAATTAATATTTTTAAAATGTGTAATAAAAAATATGACATTTGATGGTTTTTTTGAAAATATATTTACTAGAAATATGATACTCCTATAACTTAGTAGAATCAAAGAAATAGAGGAAAAAAACGTTGTTATTTTTTACGTGAAGCGAACATTGAAGTCTCTAAAATATGAAGAACCTTCTGATTTCTGACCCCAGGATTTTTAGAGAGTGTCTATTCTTTTAAACATGGAGTTTCAATTTTATTAAAATAAGGTCAACAGTCTTGTCAGAAATGGGAATTTATGAATTGTTCCTTCAGTGTTCAGAAAGCACTAATCCGTATATTTTGCCTTCGACCAGTGCAGTGGCGACCGGGAACAATCGTGGCAATACATGTCAGCTGTTTTTCACGAATTATGTACTTTGTTGATACAAATTAAAAGTTAACATTGTGGACCTAGAGATAGAAATTAGCACAACCCGCAATTTACAAACACATCTAAAGTTCAAACCTAAAACTATGATATTTTGATAGAGTAGCGTTTTTTCTTTACTAGCGTTTTATCTAAGTAGCGTTTTTCTAGTGTAATCAAAATTCTGAGCTGATGTTGTGACACAAGTATAAAAATCTAAATGAAAATTAATAAAAAAATCTTACTTTGGATAGTCCAGTGGAGTGTTTACCCTAGTTTCTAAGTATCCTAAAAGCCAACTTCTTAAAATATCAGGAAATCATTTTTTTAATTGAATTCAAAAACTTTACTAGACTGAGACAGCTTTTCGTCTTTCTTAAAGGGACTGTAAACTGAATTTCAAGTGACCCTCAATGCTAAGATGATTCACAACGGTACCCTTTAAAGCTTTGTCTGATCAAGTATGAATAAGATTATATGTTTATAATTTTAAAAACTGATTAATTTCAACTGTGGTTTCTCTACAAAAGTGACCTGCGCATTTCTACTGCAGGAAAACAAGTATGAATTATCAGAACTTCAGAAGTTAACACTTTTAAACCTAGAAAAATGACAATATCTTTCACATTATTGATCAGATAAAAGTTTCAAGGGTACAATGTCGGATTCACATGAGTACCCTGAAAAGCTTTGTCAAGATCAAGTGGGAACGTTATTGATCAGATAAAAGTTTCAAGAGTACCGTTGTGAATCGGGTATTGTCATCTTTCCATGGAGGGTCACTTGAAATTACGCTTACATGCCCTTTAAGTTGATTATTTTGCAACCCTATTTTAAAGAATTAAATATGTTTTGAGTCGACATTGTTCAATTTTTATATGGATTTTTTTAATGGCGACCCCTGATTTAAATCTATTCTAATAAGTTATATCTCTGCCGTCAAGAGGTTCAATTTAACCAATGAGAAACAGGTTAACTACCAAAGAGCAAATGACTTTAACTCTTTTGAATCGATTTAAATAAATTCCTTTGGTTTAATATGTTCCAGTTCAGGCAGAGCAAAACCCATTCAAGGTTCAGACTCCTCTTCGGTTAAATTGTTTTGTCAAAGCTTAGTTGACAACTAATTGATTAAGAAGATTTCCTTGATAAACAAAATAAAGAACAGCGATGAGACTTCCTAATCCACCCAGTAGATAAAGCCGACTAAAATAGATGATTTATGAAGAGTTGATACATTTTTTTCTGCATCTTTGACGTTTGATCAGACTTATGATGATATATGATGATTATTTTTCCAACGTTTAGTTGAGATAAACCGAACCCAACTAAAGGTTTCAAAATCCTATATTTTTCAAAATGTATTTCTTCTATCTGTTGCGTCTATAAGAAGAAAAATAATGAAAACGCTTAATGCCCAAGAGCGTAGAATCCATATAAAATAAATTCACGTGGTTGCTTTATTCCAATCAAATCGTTAATAATTCAGTTAAATTCAGAACTGATAATTCAGATATTATTTACAATTAATAAATTCCAGATTTCTGATCATCACAACAAAGTTAATGTTTCACGTAATTTTTTATTTTTGTATGATCCGATTGTTACTCTTTAGAATATTCTAAAACATTTCTTTGAAAATATACAAATTTCGTCTTCGTTATTTAAAATTATCAAAAATAAGAATAATCTCAAAAGTTACACTAGCATCATAAAAAATTAGAAATATTATGAAATATATGAATCAGACTTTTAAGAAATCAGCCTTTACAATCATTTAATAAAAAGATACTAACGCAGTAATCCATGTTTGTGAAGAAGGTTCCTTTTTAGGTCTCCTTGGTTTATGTTCATCTGTTGTTCCTTCTCTCTCCGCCAACCTACATTATAATATTTACAAAAGTATCTTTAAAATAATGTTAACTGCTATTCTCTTCTTTAAGACAGTGATCATTTATTATTCCTTAAAGAACAATTCGGGAGAGTGTACTTTTATATAACTGTGATTTTTGTACTTTGTTTTCACAATGTTTAGTGAACCTAGTACTGTACTGTGGGGTTACCTTTGTCGTTGTCTTGCCATACTGTACACGCTAGTCGCTACAAATACAGAACCCCGCAGCATCCGGCCTGTACAGTGTACATGTATATTGTCGGTTAGAGCTCTGTACAATTTAGATCGACGGTTAGATCCATGAAAACGGTTTAAATAAACAGAGCTGAAAACTAAAGAGATATTGAGTGGATATTGAGATCAATGCTTAATCTCCTCTTTTTATTAATCTCAAAATTAATTAAATCTTCAGTTTGTATACAGAAAAATGTATAAAATCAAAGTGGCGCATCAGTGCCGGGAAATTTGAAATTTTGCGCGCCATTTAATGAGAGAACTGTCATTGGCCTTGTAGAGGTATCCAAAACAGGGGAAAAGAGCGAATTAAGCAGAAATCAAGTGTCCACAGTGGATATTAAGATTAAGCGATAGGCAATGAAGTTTTCAGTTCAAATTATAAGTCTACCTACAGAGCGTCCCATATCATATTAGATTATCTCCAATCTTTAACACCAAAATAAACCCTTAATACTCGAAAAACTTATACTTTTCCGCAAGAAAATTCTTATATAAGCCTTATGTTATTTTTCAAAATGATTCATTCTAATGAAATTTTCTAATTAGTCCCGAAAATCGTAATTTAGACCCGTTCTCGGTCTAATATGATGCGGGACACCCTGTTGTATTAAAAAAATAAAAAATAAATTTTTTTTAATAAGCTTTACCTTTAGTTTCAGATTCCAGTGAACAAATTAATTTAGTTTGTATACAGAAAAATGTAAAAAATCAAAGTGGCGCATCAAAAGCCGGGAAATTTGAAATTTTGCGCGCCATTTAATGAGAAAACCGTTATTGGTCTTGTAGGGATATTCAAAAACAGGGGAAAAGAGCGGATTAAGCAGAAATAAAAAGTGTCCACAGAGGATATTCAGATTAAGCGATAGGTATTCAGGGTATCCAATTCTCAAGTTTTCAGCTCTGTTCAGATTAAAAAAGTCTACCTAGTACTTAAAAAATAAAATTTAAAACTATTTAAAAAAAGAGTTTCACCTTTAGTTTCAGATTCCAGTGAACAAATTAATTTTCAACAAACTAATTCATTTTTTCTTAAATAAATAAAACTTATTGTATTTTAAGGCATAAACTTTATCACAACTATATATTCCGATGTTGGCAATTGTCACGGCACAGAAAGCAGGGCCCAGCTTCCTATACAGTTTGCTGCTGTATCAAGTACTCCTCGGAGATTTTCTCAATCATCGCAACAATTTTCTCCTCAATCTCTGATCCACTATGAGCAAGGAGTTAATCAATAATCATTTAAAATCTTAAAGATTTTAAAGATCTTTTAATTTTAACCTGTTTATCTCCTCCTCCGACATATGAATCTTCTCCTCATGAGTTCCAGTAATAATCCAGACTTCTCGTTTCCTGCTCTCCAGAATATTTCCTGAATAGTGAAAGCATCATCAATATTGAAATTGTGCCAGCAGCCCACCAAAATATTGGAATCGAGCAAACCGTCAACCAAAAGTATTTGTATTCAGACTTAAACAAATATTGCAATACTTTTTTTTAGTCATTTAACTATTTCTCTAAACATTTTCTTGACCAACAAGCTGAAGGGCCCGGTGTTGCTATCGAAAAAAAATTTCAAAAACAGATTTAAATTTTTGAATTTTTTTTTGAAAATAAAAAATATTTTTTTATCCTTTAACACCCATCGGCCACCCATGAGTGTCCACAGAAAATTTCAGCCCAATCGGTACAGCAGTTTTATCGGCTATACGAAGTAACGAAACATATGTCTTGTTTTATAATATAAATACAATTTTGAAACTATCATGCTGTATGAACAATGCTATTAGTTATTTATATTTAAGAGATTTTTCTGTTTGTTTGTTGAAACGTGTCCAATAAACGTCAACATGGTTGAACCAATGTGCTTAAAGTAAGTTGTGCGTCCTGCGACCTCATATGGCCCATGGGAAGGTTTATGGACTTCAAAAATAAAACCCAAAAACATTTGTAAATATTTCTTCATCTTACCGACTACAAGATTATGTTTATACTTCTCCAGAGCTTGCTTAGCCTGTATAAAATCAAATCAAAATAATAACATGGGGACCTACTTCAAGTGTCATTAGGACTTTCAGTTTCAAGTCATTCAACAGTTTATTGAAATAAAGATATTTGGTTTGATTCTAGATAACAGATCTATTGTTCTATAATGACTTCCTGAGCTGGGAATCTGCAGATCAATTCAACCTTTATTTCATATCCCGCATGGTTATCATCCCCATGAAGAGATTTAGCATTTATCTTCAAATTAAAAGTACCCACAGTGTATATCGAGATCAAGCAATCGGGATTATGATTAAACAACATAAAAGTTCCCACAGTGTATATAGAGATCAAGCAATTAGGATTGTGAGTAAACAATATAAAAGTTCCCACAGTGTATATCGAGATCAAGCAATCGGGATTATGAGTAAACAATATAAAAGTTCCCACAGTGTATATAGAGATCAAGCAATCAGGATTATGAGTAAACAATATAAAAGTTCCCACAGTGTATATAGAGATCAAGCAATCAGGATTATGAGTAAACAACATAAAAGTTCCCACAGTGTATATAGAGATCAAGCAATCGGGATTATGAGTAAACAACATAAAAGTTCCCACAGTGTATATCGAGGTCAAGCAATCAGGATTATGAGTAAACATAAAAGTTCCCACAGTGTATATAGAGATCAAGCAATCGAGATTATGAGTAAACAACATAAAAGTTCCCACAGTGTATATCGTGGTCAAGCAATCAGGATTATGAGTAAACAACATAAAAGTTCCCACAGTGTATATCGAGGAGTCAAATAAATAACTAGCCAATGCAACTATCATTCAGTAGAAATCAGAGTCGAACCTCCATCCAAATAAACCTTTGAAAGCCATACATTAATCTCAGAGTTTTCAAAAAGCTAGATTTTAATTTGATTCCTTAGAAATGAGAATGGAAGGATCCGTTTCTAATTTGAAGGAAGCAACATAACAATTGGGAGCCCAATTCCCAACCAGAGGCCGTAACATCTGAACAGTTAGGATTAGAGTTTAAAGATGTTATAGTTGGCATTGTAAACGTTAGAAGCCTAATCCTAAACAGTTAGGATTAGTTTAAGTTTAAAGGAGGCATTATAACAGTTAGGTGCCTAATTCCCAACCCCAGAGGAAGTTAAATCTTATAAGTAAGAAACAGTCTTGATCACACAAAAAATAGTTAAGCTTGCTCGTAACTCTTTACGCAAAAATATTTAACTTTTTAAGCATCAATAAAAACATTTTAGATTTACCTTGGGGACAATATGAAGATGTATATCTGGAGGACCCTCCGAAGACTGTAGTTTATGCCTAACATTTATTATCTGAATTACTTTAATTACTAAAGATTTTTAAACTTTATTGTCCCGTAGATCGAATTTAATGAATTGAGAGAGGTCGCTAAACTACGTACCACCTGTTTAAATCCTGAATTACCGAACAAAAATTAAAGATTTATGAGGATTTGAATCGGTGATTCAGGATTTGAACCAGCTCTAAGGGACTGTTAAGATAGAATAAAATGAGGTATAGGCTTTTAGACGTTGATCGCAACCTCTGATAGTTCTATCTGATGTCCCTGTCTCTAGAAATGAATATAAAACTGTGTCCGAGTTATTAAAAAACTCAGAAATAGAAATGCGCAAGTCAACTTGGTAGAGAAGCCGCAACTGAAAAACCCCAGTTTTCAAAATTATAAAAATTTATGTATGTTTTATACTTATTCAGAAAAAAAGCTTTTAAGGGTAACGTTATAAAATCGGAAATTGTAATCTTTGCAGAGTCACTTGAAATTACGCTTACTATACAGGGCTCATTTAATAATAAAATCTTACATTTAGAATAAACCAATCAATAGACTAGTTACAATACAGGGCTCATTTAATAATAAAATCTTACATTTAGAATAAACCAATCAATAGACTAGTTACAATACAGGGGAAATGTACTATACAGGGCTCATTTAATAATAAAATCTTATATTTAGAATAAACCAATCAATAGACTAGTTACAATACAGGGGAAATGTACCTGGGTAGTTTCTGTGAGGGTACATAAAAATCTGAGACTGCAGCGGCAAGATCTTAAAATACAATCTATCAAGTTTTTTTTATTTAAAAGCATCCAGAGGTTGGAATTGATCAAGATTTGAGTAATCAATGTTAAACTACTGCAGGAAAACATGTAGCAATTAAACACTTTTAACACTAGATAACGACAATATCTTCCGCATTATAAAATGTGAATGAGATAATGAGTTAAAATGAGATAAAAGTTTCAAGGGTGCCGCTGTGAATTGGACATTGCTTTGCTTTTTATTGCATTGCTTTGCATGGAGGCTCACTTGATATTAAGCTTACAGTCCCTTTAACTCAAATAGATTCTAGTACAATAGATGGCAACGTAGAATTTTTACAATCTGAGTACAGCTGTATTCTTACGTCACAAGTGTCAACAGTTTTATGTCTCCGACAAAATTATTAATAATAGTGATAATTTTAGAATAAAGTGCTTATTTTCCAGTAAAATAAGTGCAATTTAATGTGTTATTTAGTTTCTGTTTTTCCACTTTTTTATTTAATTTTGGAAAACATGTCAATTAATGTGAGAAAATTTCGTTTTCCTTGTTATATTTGACACTTGTGACGTCGTGTATGATTGGTCCATTCCTCTGTTACCACCTATTGTACTTGATAATCTATTTGCTTTAACTTAACACTTAAAGACCTCGGAATTAATGTAGTTTTAAATACTTACATAGGATAGAACGAGACGTCTGTGAGTTAAGAATTAGACAACACATTCTAAAAATGGATTCCAACGAGTTTTATGTGATTAATTAATTGATTGATTAATTGGTATAGTGACTTATTAATTAATTGATTAAAACGAAACCGTGAAGCAATGATTTTTTAATTAATCGATATATTGATGAATATGTTGATTGATTGATTGATTTAAAGGTACCTAAGAAGCCAGAGATAGTCTGCAAGTGAAGTAAAATATATCTCACACAGTCTGTCTACATCAGCAAAGGATTAATTACGGATATTTAAAATATATGTAATGTAATAAAAAACACTTTTTTAACTTTTTAAACATTAATCATTTAATGTGCATTTTATTAAGGCGATAAAAAAAGAAATAATTAAGAATTGAAAAAAAAACTCGACTCTTAAAAAAAATAAGAATTATTTTGTATATTTAAAAAAATATTAACAATAAAAATTGCAAGTGCTTAAACCTTGTTCCTGAATATTGTTTGTATTCCTGTAGAACCTGTTTTACAAAATCATTATTTTGTTTGTCAACAACAACTTGGCCGTCAGCTATTGTAAGCCAGGACAGCATGCTGGAACCAGGAAGGTGCCTTAATTAAAAATATCATTAAAAAACATTTCTTCGAGTTAAGATTTTTAATCTTGCCAAGAACCGGTTTTTGAATTAGCTCAGCTGTACAGGGACAAATCTGAGAATGCCACAAAGATACAAATAATCTATCAAGAATATCAACTGATTTCATTTTCGAAAGTTTATCTTGCTTGTTTTTTCAGTCGTAAGGTAAAATTCTTTTTCGTTTGAAACTTGTTTTTAAATTGAAACTTTAAACGCGTAGTTTAATAGTACAGTTACAAATTAATACATTCCCAGGAATGATTATTTTTCCCCCTCTTGAAATTTTTTTTTAAGAGCGCGAAAAAATGAATTGGGTTATTCGCTGAATTTGGGAAAATAAATTATTTTTAGGGGTAAATAAAACATTTTATTAGTATTAAAAAGAATGAAAAAACTTGCATTTTTATGTCAATTTTAGACCCCCCCCCCACCTGATAAACTCACCTGGAGAATGGTCTGAGTGAGTTTTCTCGGTGGAGAAAAATGACTGAATATCCTTTTCTAAAAAAAGGTTTTTTATCACATTTAATCAAAAATAACCATTTTTTAATTATGCCGACAATTAAGTTACTTTTAAAGGTTTGTGAATGCTGATTTTGAAATGAAAATCAATTTAAAAAACAAAAATTTCAAAGTCAGTTGGAAAGAGANGGGGGGGGGGGGGGGGGGGGGGGGGGGGGGTGTTTGCTAAATTTGAAAAGGTAGTATGGGTTAAACCAAAATTAAATTGCCGATCAAAAATTCTAAAAGTAATTTTAAAATCAACTTATTAAGTCACTGGATAAATTGAAAAATATTTTCATGATTATTATTGGATTTTAAAAAATCATAATTCAGTTATGATAACTGGAGTTTAACAATCGTCTTCCCGTTCCATAGTTTAATGGGTGTCACTGTACCTGTATTTAGTTCAAGAGGTACTGTGGTACCCCCTGAGGTGACCAGCACAATGCCCCTGGTTTGCTGCGCAGCGCAGAACTTTTCTACTTTGCTCTTGGAGGCATCGTAATGCGCTGGAGGCAAATTCTCTGTAAAAAATATTTCTCCTTCCTCCTCCTGATCGGTTTCTGACATTGTTCTGCAAATTTAATATTAAAAAAATATATAAAATTTATAAATCGTGCTTAGTATAATATGGCGATCTTATAATATTTATATTGAATAATGTAGTCATAACTACATACTGCGAGTAATTCCTAAAAATTTTAGGTCGACAACTCTTAAATTCTGGGAGATAATTCGCCACCAGAGTTAAACATTTTTTTATGATATTATGATGTTACATATCAATTTCTTTGTTTTCAAACAGAAAACTCGGATCCGTTGAAATTGTGGAAAAAAATATTAAAATAAATGAGCTAGATCCAAAAACATGCTTGATTTTAGGAGAAGTACAATTTTAGTGTCTTTTTTTTGGATATAACTCAGTCAATTTAAGAAAAAAAAATATTTGGAGCTGTGCTGGTCCTTTTCAAACTTTGTCATCCGTGGACACCTTACTGTCGTATCAGTAGATTTATGGATAGGAGAATCTAGGGGTTTGTTTTATTTTCTATGACGCATTAGATTAATCAGATATACTAGTATAATTATAAACTTTCTTTTTTAACACTTTATTAACCAACACTGTCAACTTTTCCTTTCTTCCAATAATATAATAAAACAAGACATTCATAAGTTGCCTATAGCCGGCCAAACGGCTGGACCGAATGGGCTGAAATTTTTAAAAAATATTTTTTTTTCAAAATTGTTTTTCAATTATTTTTTCCCACGGGCAACTCTTGGCTCTTCAGCTAGTAATTTATATATGAACGGTGTAAAATCTTATTTTTAATATGTTTAGATTTTGCCATCATTGCTGGACAATTAGATCTACTAGAGCCTTGAGATTATCCACGATTAAATCAGGTTTGACGACAGGATGGTTTTCATCCTTCTGGGTATATTTACCAGATCGGACCAGTACACCACGGATTCCAGATTTCTGAAAACATTAACATTAACTTAAAGGGACTGTAGACGTATTTTAAAGTGACCCTTCCATTGAAGAGTGACATGTCCGTATAAAACCTCAATCTAAGCAACCCTGAGGAAGATATCGTCGTTTTTAATCTAAAAAGTACTGAATTTCATTCGTTTCCATCATCGATCTCTAAAGCCAAACTGAGCATGTTACTATAATAGAGAACCCACGACTAAAAATATTCAAATAACCGCTAAAAGCTAAATAAAAGAATATCTAATCCCGTACTCAATCAAACATCCCGGTCTATAAATGGTTAATAGAGCACCATTTAAAATTAGATCCCTTTAAATTCCGTTCAAAAATTGGGATTTTGATTGACAGGAAAAGTTCTGCATATAATGAGAAAGCTAAGTAAACAAATTAGCGGGGTTTCGTAAAATAAATCACAATTGGACTTTCACCATAAGTTAAAGTGACCTAACATCTTACAATTCTCAACAGTAATCTTAAATCCTTTGTATGAGTAACAAAAAAGAGAATATCGCCATTTTTCTAATTTAAAAAAATACAACTTCTGCTAGCCGGGCCTTTGATCATTTTTCATTTTTTAGTATAATTAACTAATTGGCACTTTCTTGTTAATCGAGCATGCAACCCTTTCAATGGAGGTTCGCTTGAAAATGTGTAGATGTCCCTTAAAGGGACCGTTCACTTTTTAGGGCAATTTGAGGGTAAACTAAATAGCCTATTAGCTGTTCATTGGTGATCCTTTGCATAGACACTATGTAATGCTTCTTGTCATTGTCATGGATAATTTTTGTTCCAAATCGCCATCTTTGTATAAACGTGTTAATTTGTTAAATCATGTTTTACCACGAAAAACGTAAAAATTTCTTGCTAATTTTAAAATCAAAGGTTTTCATAATTTATTATATAACAGCTGACACATGATGTAATTAAAATATGATAATTTAAGATTTTATTGGACTGTTGTTATTGAAAAACGTTTAAATAGTGTCAATGCAAAGGTATCATACCTTTCCGCTGGAATTCTAAACGATTGACTTTTTCTGCGGTCATAGATATCTTTGAAAAATAAGACTAAAACCAATGAATAGCTAATAGGCTAATTATTTTACCATGAAATATCCAAATACGTGAACGGTCTCTTTAACTAAGAATAATACCTGCGCCCCTCCTACATCGGATACAATATCATCTCCTATCATTATAACGCGTTCAGCTGGGAGCCCCAGAGAATTTAACGCGGCCTTAATAAATAAGAAAAAAGTCGATCCTATAATATAAAGATAACATAATCATTGCAGGGAAGTATATCATTACTAGAAGTTGAATTGTCCCCATTAAAAGAAATATAATAATTATTTTTAAACAATTGAAAAAATCGTGTTTGACACTAAGCTGTCTATAACTACAAGCAGTTAATGCCTGCAATACAAAAAAAAGTTCTTAGCGATTCTTTGAGTTCCCTTCCATTAGAACTTAAACTACAGTTGGGAAATGAGACTCAGTTCTCATTTTAAAGGAAATATATGAAACTTTTCTGAAATATCTGGTTTCTCTTCCCCATAGGCAATGGGAGAAACTTTTTATATTTTTTGGGGATATAATGTTTTTTTTTGTCCCTTAAGCAACAAGGGAAAGTAATAATTTCACCATTCAGAAATGAAGGGAAAGAAATATACTTTGAATTTTCTTCCCCAGACTCCTAGAGTTTGTACAGTGATTTTATTATGTTTCTTCTTCTTTTAATATATTTTTTCTTGCCTTTCCTCCCCTATAATATAAAGATAACATAATCATTGCAGGGAAGTATATCATTACTAGAAGTTGAATTGTCCCCCCCCCCCGTGGCATTATTGTCCTAGATTTCCTTCCCCCGGAACCGGAAGTGAACCTTTTTACGACCTTTTATCACAAACTAGCTATTATTGCCACTAAATCACGTATTTTACCATATTTGAAATAATTTTGCATCACTTACCTTGATTATTATCTTTAATTTACAGTAATTTTGTCATATTTGACAAATTTTTTACCCCAGGCTAAGGTGTTTCTTTCCCCCCAAGTCACAACCAAAAAATTAGCGATTTTGAAGCAGTCCGTGTAAAGTTCAAAGAAGTTTGCTGCGGCGGGGGGAGGGGGGGTGCAGCACCCCCTTGGGAGAATTTTTTTTTGGTATTTTGGTGCCCTAAAAAGGTCAGAAACCAGGTCCAGATTCTTTTGAAATTCTTAAAGCTTTTTAAATGGGAGAAAATCATGATGTTAAAGAAAAAATATGATACTTTTCCTGTGTGGGCCGAAACAAGCAAAAAAATATAATTATAATTTTAAAAAATTGAAACAATCATGTTTGACACTAAGCTGTCTTTAACTCCAAGCAGTTAATGCCTGCAATACAAAAAAGTTCTTAACGATTCTTTGAGTTCTCTTCCATTAGAACTTAAACTACAATTGGGAAATGAGACTCAGTTCTCAGTTTAAAGGAAATATATGAAACTTTTCTGAAATATCTGATTACTCTTCCCCATAGGCAATGGGGGAAGCTTTTTATTTTTTGGGGGGGAAATCATGTTTTTTTTTTCTTTCCTTAAGCAACAAGGGAAAGTAATAATTTCACCATTCAGAAATGAAGGGAAATAAATATATTTTGAATTTTCTTCACCAGACTCATAGAGTTAATAAATTGATATTTAATGTTTCTTCTTCTTTTAATATATTTTTTCTTGCCTTTCCTCCCCGATAATATAAAGACAAAATATTCATTGTAAAATTTTCCGATTTCGACCAGCCATGAACTTTCCCTTGGAATTTTCCCAAATGCCTGGGTATCTGGGAAATTTCCCAAATGCCTGGGTAGCTGGGAAATTTCCCAAATGCCTGGGTAACTGGGAAATTTCCCAAATGCCTAGGTTTTTGGGAAATTCCCCAAATATTAAGTCATTTGAGAAATTTCCAAAATTTTTAAAATATACCACCCTCAAATACCTACAGGAATTTGGGGAATTTCCCAAATGCCTGGGTATCTGGGAAATTTCCCAAATGCCTAGGTTTTTGGAATATTTCCCAAATGCCTATCTTAAAAAAAAAATGTAAATGCTGTCGTGTCATGAATACGACCCCCGAAATCCAATGGTTTATGATGATTTGGAGGAAAAATATTAAATTCGACATCAAGTTTGTTCATCCTTTCTGATACTTTTCCTCGTAAAATCAGTTATTTAAATTCATTTATTTCCCGCAATTCAGTGGAACAAAACAAAAAAAACCTAACTTCCGGATATAAAAAGATTTTCAAAAGAGGGGGGGGGGAATTTCCCCCGAAACTATACACCCCTGAGATCCTAAACAATCTACCTGGAAGAAAGTTTTATCTGGTTTACCACACACAATAGCATCTCTATCTGCAGCAAACTCTAGTGCAGCTGTATACGGTCCTACATCTAGGGTTAACTCGCCATCTTCTCTGGGGGAAATGGGAATATTATTGTGCTAGTTACATGACTAGATAGGGGTATATAACTTCAAGAATTCCCCCTCCCCAAAATATGATTTTTGACAACATTGGGGAGAAAAATCAATAATTCTAGAATTTCCCCCCTTATTCAACGAAATCTCTTAAAGCCTAATGTGGATTTAACCCTATTTAACCCGACCTTCTCAAGTTATAATTTTATTTTAAATGATTTTTACTAGATTTCTACCAATTAATACTTCAAAGAAATCAAAGCAGTTAATTATACAAAGAACAACACCCATAAAACCAATAATTCATCCACATTTTTCTTTAAATGTTTCAGTAAATTATATTTTCGTAGAATAGAGAAAAAGTACAAATGTAAAAGATACCAAAACCAGCAAAGGCAGATACAGGATTTAAGTGAGGGGTGTGCGAAATTTATTTGGGGGAAAAATATCAAGATTAAGGAACCAAAAGACGCACCGCAGGCGAAATTTTTTTTAGATAGTTATTTTTTTCTGTTTTGGACTAGGTTTTCTTTCCCTCAAGTGCTATAGAGAAGCTTTTTGGTGAATTTTAGATGTATCCTGCTTACCTATAGTATTTTCCTTTACCCAGAGAAATCAAATCACATTCTTTTTCTTTCAACAACCTGTAAATTAAGTCAAAAGTGAATAGTTGCTGGTTTTAACACCTTCTCTTACCTATGCGGATCTACTGATCCGTATCCAAGGGGCAAAATAAAAATAAAAAGTCTCTTATATCTAAATAATTCATTAAATATCAACAAGAATAAGCGAGAAATAAAAAGTTGACCAATTTCAATTTGTAAAACAAATCAGTAAATCTTTTAGAAATGTTCACTGTTCAGGACCTGAATCCGGATGTTTATTTTCAGGGCGATCTGGATTCGGATCCGAATCAATATGAAATAGATCCTGAGCATCAGTGAGCACTGCCTAAAACCTACCTAAAAGCTTTGTTTAGGTTTTCATAGCTAAATTTATCCACAGCATCTCCAATAACAACACATGTAGGGTCATCTAAAATCAGATCTTAAATTAGTAATTTTATTAACTTCTAAAAATTGTAAAATTTTGAATTTATCAAAGATAGGACAGAAAATTCTTTATTCAGATAAATCTTAAAGAATAAAGTGACAGGCAATGCACCAAAAAATCTATAATCAACGTAATAATTCAACCTTAATTTACTAAATTCACTGAACAGTTTTTCCTGAAAAAGAAACTGGTTCGTAGAAAACTCACGTTCAAAGTTTTGTTTTAATATTCGAAAACAAAAATTTGAAAATCTTTTATTTAAGTTAGAGACCAGAATTCACACTTTCTCCCTTTAATGTTGTTATCCCCAGACAGGAATATTGGATAATTTACCTGAATTTAAACCTTCGAAATCTTGGAGAACATTGTCATGCACCAGAAGAAACGGTCTACAATAGTTATTCCTCTAATCCATCAACAATTTAGTGTGTAAAGTATTTAAAGACAAAAAACATTTCTCAACACAAGATATAATTTTCTCTTAAAAACTATGAAGGTTTCTTGTTGATTGATGAGAGGTTAAAACTTTTGTCTCTGTGATTACGACGCGTAGCTTCCAATTTAAGACTAAACATTTGACTAATTAACACTTAATAACTAAACGATGCCAGAAATGGGCCCTGGACAATTTTTCCCGATTTAAGATGTTTAGCGTCAAGATTTTGTGTCCAGTTTTGTCACATGAAGAAAAGCGATATCCTAAACAAAAGCTTACCCTTAAAGGGGTTCTAAGCGTTATTCCAAGTGATTTTCCATTTCTAGAGGTACTTCCGATTCACAACGGTACCCTTAGATTCATTTGTCACGAAACGAATCTGAATTCCAGATTTACTCAACAATTCTAGAGCCTCTAATGAACCCTAAATTTAGGAATAGATAATAAATAGTTTTCAAATATTCATATTGATAATTGAAGCCGAAACTGTGTTCAAATGTTCACATTGATAATTCAAGCCGAAATCGTATTTTTGTATTGTAAAAGCAGAAATAAGCCTGAATCAATGGACCTGCGAGCATTTCCTAAAAAGAAGTTTGGGAGCCCTAGTATTTCTTATAAACACCTGAATTGGAATTCCATCTCCACTTGTAGAGCTCTCCCTAAGCACCCCGGTTATATCACAAAGAATGCCATCAACTCTCCCGCCTGGAAATAAAAGCCGAGCAACCCCTTTTTCCGACATTTTCCTAAATTAAAACTTAATTTTTATAATTTTTTGATTTGGTAATGTTAAGACAATTTCTGAGCCGCGCGCTGCGGGTCGGCTAGGACAGGCTAGAGGGGGCGTGCACTGCAGCTAAGGGAGGATTGGGGGCAGAGCGTTGCGGCCATATGATTAATGATGACAATGTCCTAGCCGCAACGCTTCGCCCAGAAATTGTCTTAACCTAACCTTAATTAATACAAAATAACTTATAATTAAAGGTCAAGTACAAAATTGATAGGAGAGGCCCCCGGGGGGTCCAAAAATCGTTCTCTAGGACAGACCCTAGATACCTAAATACAGGCATCTTAAATCTTGGCATATTTGGAGTCTTAATTATCTTGTGTCGACGGGTGGCCACAATTTGTTTCCTATGAAAAGTCTGATTTATATTATCTAATATTGTGCGGCAAATGTACACATTTAAACCAATATTTTTCTTTCTTAAAGACGACATTCTGTCTCGTACTAGGTGATGGCGTATCCGACGTATAAAGGAAACTGACAGCTATAAGTTTTTTCTCCAGTCCAAGTTATATGAATAGGTTTATATAGGTATCATGGTAACGCTCCCAAGTAGTTTACAAGGGTTTACGAGAGCTTTAGCGTAGCAACTAGAAAATGTAGAGGTCGCAGAGGGGGCACTTTATGCGGAATGTTTGGGTTCACGGTGAACATTTGTCTGAAACCGGTCTGTTGACAGCGTACACTATATTTTTATTTTTTGTAATGAACAATTGCCTTTTTTAGGTAATGTTACATCGTCTATACGCAATATCTCCCCTACTGAACTTCCGACCTACTGCAATATCGGACCTACG